CTGAGAGGTCAAGGAGAACCAGGATGGAGGCAAAGCCTCCGTCCCTGGCTCTCCAGAGGTCATCGGTCAATGCGACCAAAGAGAGCTATACTCCAACTCATATTATGACATGTAAATCAGACAATGATTTTAATCTCTTGAACTCTCTTTGTGTCATCTGTAATAACTAGTTTGACGTGTAAGAAGAGTCTGGTCTTTGGTACCATTCATATATAATAATCAATCTGTTAAGTCTCTGTTACAGTTAGCCTGCTTGCCTTTTTAACTCCCCTCATTTGCTACTGGCATAGGAGTTCCTCTAATGAGAAAGCCAAAATATTTTTATGATCCATAAAAGCCCTGTATATTTGGTAAAAGCATTAAAGTCAGTAGGATACCATAAAATATAATTTTAGTTTATAACTTGCAGATGGAACTACCATTGAAAAAGTATGATCAATGCTTAGTGAACTGAATAGTGTATGAAATCTTTTTTTCTCCACAGAACAAGTATTAACGTGATCTAAACTACAGACAGAGAGTCACTTGGTGTAGTAGTTAAGGTGTCAGGCTAGAAATCAGAAGACATTGCTTCTAGTCCCCCCTCTTTGTCACAAAATCAGCTGGGTTATTTTGAGGGTTATTGTCTCTCAGATCTAGGAAGAAGGTAATGGAAATTATTTCTTTGCCAAGAAAACTGCAGTAACCTCTCTAAGTAGTTGCCAAGAGCCGATATTGATTCAGAAGCACACAGACACACATAAACAGATTATAAACTAAGAGTTACACAAATTAAAGTTGTGATTTCAAATATATGTGTACCTTTTTTCATGTTTTGAAATCTGATTTAAAATCATTTCCTACCCATTACAGAGACCTTAAAAATAATGAAATCTCATGGACAATTGAAGATATGAATGGTGCTTTCTCTGGACTTGACAAACTTAGATGGCTGTAAATATAACTTCCTTCTTTCTATTTGAGTAATGATAAATATTTATTCCATGGTCTTGAATATGAAGCTTTATAAAGGACACAGGTTCTTGCAAATTATAATTATCATCATTATTAATATAATTATTATTCTTCTGGCAGTGATGGCTATTATTATTACTGTTCCACAAAAGCCCATAGATTCAACAACCACCACAGAAAAAGTGATAAAACACTGAGAGCCAGATGTAGGGAAATTTGATAGTACTAGTTGATATTAGATCTGCTGTCAGCTGTCTGCAATGTGAATTTAACTTTGATGCCCCCTGCTTGCTCACTACCTTTATGTTTTCTCTTTGACACTATCTTTACAGTACTTTCAATGTTTGCACCATAAAGCTTAACTGGAATTTTATTACCCAGCTCATGTATTTTATTTCTTATATAGTGGACAGAGACAGAGATCAGGAGTGTGAAACTAGCTAAGGTGGAGATGGGAAAATGGAGATAATATGTTATGAGACTTTGTAGCCAAAGTTACTCATGTTTAATTATATAATCATCTTAATTTAACAGTTTCTTCCTTGACATACTATCTTTCTAATGCAAAAATATGAAAAGAATTTGAAGTATAGTTCAGCTTCTTGCTGTTGATTTTGTGGTGTTTCTGGTCTTGCTTATAATGACTAAATCTGTTTTAATCTCTACTCTACATATTTCTATTTCATAGTATGCTGTTATTTGGGATATGTTTTTGATTTTAAATTGATCTTGCTTTCAGTGCTTGTTGTCTTGAAAACCTTATAAAGCAACCAATAAAAGCAGTACATAAAAATAATAATTTCTTAGTGTCACATGTAGTACTACAAAATGTCTTATTTTTATTCATTATAGATATTTAAGTAATTACATTATTTACATTAGTTGTGTGCAGAGACAACATTTTATTGAGCAAACTATTATCCAAGTTTCATTAGAATGCAGATATTTTGTTCAAACTCCAGGTGGAAAAAAAGGATGAGTTGTGTGAATTCCTAAAATAATTGCTATCCCAAATTATGTTCAAAAACATTTTTAAAATGTCATCTGTCTAGTTATTAAACCAAAATAAAAGCACCTATTTAGGAAATGGAATCACTGTGGTAGGAAGAAGCTTAAAAGGCAAAGAATTGCAACATGATAAAAAATGGCTCCAAAGGAATTCTCAAAATTTCCAGATATACTTATTTTATTGCATCTGTTACATATTCAATTTCCAGGCTACTCCAAGGGAACAAAATTAGGTCTATTACTAAGAAAGCATTTTCTGGTCTGGATGCACTTGAACACCTGTAAGTACTTGAAAATTATCCTTAAATAAAGTTACTAAAATGCTCATAAATGTGAAAATGGTCATAAATGTGAAAATGGTAATAAGTTACTTTTTTCAGTGCCATTGTAACTTTGAACAGTCACTAAATGAACTGTTGTAAGTTGAGGGCTAGCTGTATTTCTTAAAAATTCAGATACATTTATAGTTTTAAAAAAATTGAAATATCTTTTTTTAATTCATCAAAAGAATTCCCCTACCCAGTGTTATTTTTTATCCAGAAATGTTGCTAAATTGTTGTGTGTAATTACAGTGAGATACATTTTTTTTCCCTTTTGGAATAGAATTTGCCCTAAGTTGATCTGCATTATTCTTTTGTCCTATAGAGATCTAAGTAATAATGCAATCATGTCAATTCAAGGAAGCACATTTTTACAAATGAAGAATCTTAAAGAATTGTAAGTATCTGTCTTTCCTCCAACACAGCTTTCACTTAGTTCAAAATACCCAATAATAGTTGAGTTTATCTAAGATTCAAGTATTTATGAGATCTATGCTAAACTTTTTAAAAAATAGATCTAGACTTAACACTTACTTCAGAAAATCACAAGGTGAATGATGGGAACCAGACAGTTAGAACAACTCTCAGAAGGAGGCAGTGATGAGCCACATCTGTATTATTTTCCCTTCCCCCCAAAAAAACCACATGGATGTTTTCATGAAGTTATTACCACATTCAGGTTAATTTGGAGGAGTCTTTCCATTTATTAAGACACAGTGAAATAGAGCAGAGGAGGCTGTTCAGTTGTGAAAAGAACTGTGGGACCTAGTTCTCACATGGTGGAAAATAACCCTGATATCAGATCTCAACATGACTAAAAAGAACCAAAAAGGGAAAATGGATTTGTTCTGAAACCATGAAAAAAGTGTTTTTAATGGAATTCAAGCAACAATGTTTTGAAGACTGAACAGGCTCGCAATAACTTTTATCACTTTGAATTTGAGACTCTGCACAACAGCATACATTATTGAAGAATGCAAATCTGGTTATTTGGCACCTTGGTAGAAAGACCTTCATGTGAGAGTTACTTGTTACTGTCTTGATATGTTATGATGGAGCAAGATGTTGGGCACCAGTTTGTTGTTTGCTTATCTTCAGGGTTGTTTTTAATATTGTTCCCTTCAGATGTAGAGGTCTTTTTTGGGGGGGAGGGGTTTCTAATGTGTTTCCTGTTTGTTTTCCAGACATATAAACACATCAAGCCTTTTGTGCGATTGCCAGCTGAAATGGCTACCTGACTGTCTAATAGACAATAAATTCCAGACTTTTGTGAATGCCACATGTGCCCATCCTCAGGCATTAAAAGGAAGAAATGTTTTTACTGTCAGTCTAGAAGGTTTTGTATGTGGTACGTTTAAATTGTCCTTTTTAACTCTTGTCAGGATTGTAAAATTTGGTGGTTAATTTAAAAAGAAGTTAACAAGATTTATCTTTAATGTTTTATAATTAATTCTCTTTGTATGTGTGTGTAGGATATTCTTTTTCTTCTAACTCTTCATATATTATGAACTGTATCAGAGGTGGGTTGCTGCTGGTTCAGCTGAACCAGTAGTGGAATTCAGGCCTGGCTCGCAGAACCGGCAATGACCCAAGCCTGCCACACCCCCGAACTGGTTCTCTTGCCGCCAGATTTTAGTGACTGCGTGTGCTGGCAGTAACTCCGGCAGCAACCCACCCCTGAACTGCATATATTACAGTATGCGATTTCACAGTAGGAATCATATGATATTATTGATCATGTGTGCATATTTCTAACAAAGTGAATGAAGGTGACTAATATATGCCATATGCTAGGGCCATAAAATGCATATATTTGTTAGGTAAGAAATGTAGTTTAATATGTTTAAATTGGTGCATGTTTAGTGTTCTGAAATGTAAATAGTATGACTTTTTCAGATGAGAAATATCTTTGTGATTAAGTAATAGATTAAGACCCAATCTTCCTCCTCTTCCTCACAAACCAAATTAAATATCTTTATTACTATCTTTGACTTGCCCTTACAGTAGGATAGTTTGATACAACAATTCATTATCAGGGAGAAAACAATAGGACAATAAAACAGCACATCTTCCCAAATCTAGACATGCTTAAGAATCCTGAATAGGCTCCAGAATCCCTGTCCATTTTCCCCTTAAAAGAAATTTTCTTTATATCTGACTATACTTATGGAATTGGGGCAAGCACATTCTTTCTTTTCTTACTATTGTATATGCTATATTTGTTTCCATTTAGCATGGCACTGCCCATCTTCTGGCTTGGTATTTTTCAGAACTGTAGCTTCACCTCTTATTGCCTAAATCTCATAGGACTATTTCAGTTACAATGGGAAATTTAAGATTATCCAAATGTTGATACGCTACAACTTTCAACAACTATTATCACTGGATTTGCTAACTAGGGTTTCTGAAAGTTTAACAAGACAGAAGGACTACTGGTTCCCTAGATCTCGCAGATTACATTTCTAAATGGAAAGGGTACATACTCACAATTGAAAAATTGAAAGAAAAACACTTTATGTTTGCAATATTATCTAACTAACTGTTCCAGTCCAGATAGGAGGGCTGATATTTCTATAATATAGAAATATCAGGAAACTGGAAAGGAAGCCTGAAAGAAAAACACATTAAAAAGGGACAGAATTTGTGAGGGTAAATGAAATTTTAAAATATCCTTGTTTTATTGGGTTAAGTTTCACCTTGGTCTAGCATATTGTAATTCAAACAAGTGATTCTGGTGTTTTCAAGCAAAAAAGGGAGACCTTTCTTGATTATGATTGCTCTGTGAAAGTGTTATTAGTGCCCCAGTCCAGAAGAATCTTCACCTCTTAAATCTCATAGTTAATTTTGTTCTCTCCATATTTATCCAGTTCATTTCCAAGTGCGTTTGTACTCCATTAGAAAATCAGTGCCAAGCATATTGGACTCAGAAGCTGGAATTCCTCATATATGTTCTAGTTTTTATAAGAAAAATAGTATTTGAATCAAGAGATAAAACAAAAGCAAAGCTGTAACTTTTTTTTAATGTATCCAGTGGTGGGTTGCTGCGTGGTAGCGAGGGTTCGGGCAAATGCTTAGCTTTGATCACTGGCTGGGCCCACCTACCTGCCCTTGTGCCAAGCTGTCCATTTATAACTAACTTTCTGGCTCGTTCCCTCTGCCATCACTGCCCAGCTGAGTTTTGCACCACTCCTGCTTTACTCACCGGAGCTGCCTGAGTTGATTACCTGCTTCTTTGAAGCTCCATTTTACTCCCAAAGGGGTGGATGTGAGCAAAGCTGGCGCACACGCGCTCACAACCAGCAAACCACTTGTGAATATATCCATCCATTGTTTTCATTAAAACAAGAGATCAAGTTAATAAAGAAAGTGAAATAATGGTTTTACTACCTATGCACCAGATTTAAGTGTGATTTCTCATGTTTGTTTTACTGTTCTATTCAAGTCCCAACAGTTTAAAACACTATTCAGAGAAGAGGCAGAGTAATTTATATATAATATAACTTTCAGTTGAATTAAAGTAGAGGTAACCAACTGCCAAGCATCCAGTTGCAGCACTTCATGCCTTATATATAATAAAATACTTGTTAATAGTATCTGCAGCACCTGGCTTCTTAATAGTTTTAAAATAAATTTCTAGTGTGCCATTAGAATAGTTATTATTTGAATTAATATTACTGTGCCATATGTTTCAGGAGTTCAATTTTCTTTACTAGGCTAACCAAGTGTAAAGAATTGAATAAACATGTTTTTGATCTTCATATGCCAGTTATCATTTCAATGTTTCAACAGAAAATCTCTGGGACATACAGTTGCAATCAAGGAAAGTGTGCTCCTTAGTTTTTATGTCTTGCAGTTGAATAACCTTAATTCAAATACTCATTCTTGCATTCATTATTATGATTGCTGAGCAGGAAAAATGCCACATGCCTTTCTAAACATGATGTAAATAATGATGCGTATGTCGTTTTAAATATACATTTAACATGCCAGGTCAGGGATTTTTAAGGGGGGGATAGCTGAGAAAACAAAAAATATATACTCATTTTAACAAAGATGAAAAATACGCGTTTTCTTACCCTTATAATTCAAAATGGATGTAACTTGTACAACTCACAGCTACACAGAAAATTAAGAACTAGAACTAGAAATCAGTATTGAAACATGCCATGCTAGCTAAATAAAAACACTGTAATTGATTTATCAATGAATTTGCATGCTATCCTTGAATATGACTGATAAAACAGATATAAAACAGAAGCCATCATTTGCTTCTACATGGGCCAGTATACCTGAGTGCCTGTCACTATCCTTACAGTTTTAAAAAAATGGTATGGAAGGATTACTCTCCTTGTACTAAGAGTTGCCTACAGGTATGTTTAGCACATACACACAATAATTATATATTTATTAGAATTGCCACCTAGCCATATCTTTCAAGTGATAAGTAATGATTAAGAAAATCTGAAAGTTACTACACATCTTTTCAGAATTATAGTAAATTCCACTTACAGATAATCCTTGCTTAACAATCATTTGTTCAGTGACTGTTTGAAGCTAAGAAAGCACTGAACAAATATATCAGACTCCAAAAATCAAGAAAGTCATCCTGAATTCCTAAGCAGTTTTCTTTGTTGTTCCTCACCTATAGACAGAAATCTTGCCTATTATTAAATGCATTTACTGTATTAACTGCATCTAGCCATTCTTGGTAACTGGCTTGCCTACAATGTAATAAAACAAAGATATAAAAGTGGATTAAAATTACAGATCCTCAGAATTCTACGGAAGCAGATCATGTGGAAGTGCTTCAATTGCTTAGCATGCCCCCTGTATACAGTCCTATCTATCAGGGCACCCAAATTTTAACATGATGCGCCACAGACCTTTGCAACTGACAATGTCAAAAGCCTTAGTGAGATCCACGAAGGTGGTGTACAATTCACGATTCTGCTCCTGACACTTCTCTTGGAGCTGTTGGGCTGCAAAAGATCATGTCCACAGTGCCACACTCTTTGTGGAAACCACACTGTGTCTCAGGTAGTAACCCCTGTTCCAGGTGGCCAGTCAGGTGGTTCAGCAACACTCATGCAAGGATCTTGCCTGCGATGGAAAGCAGTGATATTCCTCTATGATTGTTACAGGCTTGTCAATTCCCTTTCCTCTTGTCGAGGTGTATGATAGATGCATCTTTCAATTCCTGAGGAATGGATCCTTGATTCCAGAAAGACTGGAACAGCTGAGTGAGTTTGTCAACAAGCACTGCACAGCCATCTTATAGACCTCTGCTGGGATCGCATCAGAACCTGGGACCTTGCCACTGGACAACTGGCTGATGGCTTGTATGGTTTCAATCTTTGATGGTTGGGCATCCAGGCTGTGATTGTTATCCACCTGGGGTATTATATTGATCGCCTCGTCGTTGATGGGCAGTTCAATACGGATTGGAAGTGCTCAGACCATCGCTGTAGAATCAGAGTCTTCTCAGTGATGAGAGTTGCACCATCTGAGTCCAGTAGAGGAAGCTCCCTGAGGGCTGAGGTCCATAGTAGCTGAGGGCTTCGTAGGACGGTTTAGCATCATTTCTATCAGCAAACTTCTGAATTTCATCTGCTTTGGTACTTAGCCAGGAGTTCTGCATCTTGCGAAGCTTGCTCTGTACAGACCGTGTGAGTATTGTGCAAGTATTGTTGTAGGCATTTTTCTTAGCTGTTGATGACGGGTCATTCTGATAAGCACGGTGAAAGCGGTGCTTTTCAGCAAGTAGGACCTTGATCTCTTCATCATTTTCATCCAACCAGTCCTCCTGTTTCCTGTGTGAGGGTCTAAGAACCTTTAATGCAGAAGAGTGCACAATATCCTGAAAGCGTTCCCAGACCTTTTCAGCATTTCCCTCTAATTACAGCTCTGAGAGTTGGTTGTCAAGATCTTCTGCTAGGGAAGCTGTGTTCCTCAGCTTACTGGCATTTCATCAGAATTTTGTTTCCCTGTGGACGTCTCTTTGGCTTGATGTAAAAGCTTAATTTGGAGATGATGAGTCTATGGTTAGTCCAATAGTCAGCGCTCAGTATGGCCTTGATCACCCTTACATTCTGTTTGTCTTTCCTCTGCATGATGACATAAGATGTCAGTGCTTAGAGCATGGGTGCATCCAGGACGTCTTTTTGCGAGTGGGCAGGTGAAAGATGGTATTGATTGGTGATCAGATCGTGAGCCACACATGTCTTCAGTAATAATAGGCCATTGCTGAGAGGGAGGAGCCGAAGTCGTGACGACACGACGTGTAATCTCAATGCTCTGAGATCGTAGTCGACACTTTTACCTCTGGGTGGTCCAAACGGACCTAAACCG